AAGTTATGATCCCCGCAAGCGGGCTCCCGATTGTTACTTCCGATCAAGATGCTGTGACTTCCGATCCAGTTGGGAAGGAAAGGCGTTGAAGGCGCGAAGTCGAACAGCACGCAAGAGCAGAGGAGCGACGAGCTTTCGTCGTTTCGTCCGATCAAACTGTTGTTGCTTCCGAACCAAAGGGAAGGGAAAGTCGTCGAACGAGCACAGTCGGATAGAGCAGAGGGGGTCGGAGGGAGAGAGGGCAGAGCGAGAGCTAGAGTCAGTGAAAGAGTCGAAGTTGGGAGCGAGAAACAGAGAGATCGAGCGCTTGGGTTGGCGAGAGGAGGCCGAAGGCCTCCTTTTCGTTGGCTTTTAACGACGCGAGGTGAGTCGTGCGAACGATCGTGGGATGAGTGCCAACGACGTGCGTGGGATGTCTGGGTCGCGGGATGTTCGCGATTTGGGCGGCGACGACGTGCAGGCAGGTACGATTTTTTTATTTGATTTTTTTTTGTTTATACAGAGAAGGGTCAACAAGATGATCATCATTGTGAGATTGAGTAATTGATTAACATAAAACTCCAAGGATGATTTACACTACTTGAACGAAATCGAGCATTTTTTGTGTAAAGAAACTAATTCCATTATGTATTACATGATTAAAAAGTAATTAGAATCATAATATGTAGCTAAGGTTTCATATTTGTTGTCGTCCATTACTAGGCTTCTGCTAAGTTGACAGACCCCAATTGATGTCTCCATTGAACCCCATGGACCACTAATTTGGTGGGTAATGGGTCTTTGGCTTATGAGGCATCCAAGAAAGGATTTGTAGCATATGCTTTAAACACTCTTTTTTGTTATAAATATTAAATGATTCAAAAAACTTTAGACATGTAAAACTAGGGGTGTCAATATTGGACACGACCCGAAAACCCGACTCAAACCCGACATGAAAATTTCGGGTTTTGGTCTTGATTTTCGACCCTTTTCAAATTCCAGGTCGGGTTCGGGTTGACCCGGAAAGCCGAGCATGACCCGGTTTTAACCCGGATCAGCGTATATACAGGATTTGGCCAAAGAAGCACACGAAACAGAGGACCTCGGGGCGGAAAAGGGCATTACTAATTACCTGTATGTTTCTATAATTTATCCTCTTTATTTTTTCTCTATGATTTTCCCATAGCCTTTGGTCTGGTTAGGGTTTGCTTTTCCTTGTGAACTTGTCTTCGTCGTTGTGTTGTTTTCGTGACCTAGCATTTTAAAGATATACCAATGCTTCTTCACCTTCTCCAACGATGTCGAATAGGAAGGGTTGAAGGAAGGCAACAATCTTGCTCTTTTGGCGCGCTTCTTCTCCTAAATACCATAAATCAGCCGAACTTTTGGATTTTCTAAATTCGGGATTCAAGGCAAAACAGAGAAGCAAAGTCTGCAAAGAGAGTTATCATTTTGTAGGATTTAGATTTCGTTTGGAATTGTTTTTTATCCGTTGTTCTTTGCCTTCTTTCATAAAATTTTTTACTAGAAAACTGTTGTATCAAATAGTAAGAAAATTGTTTGGCTGGATTTCGATCAAATTCTTCTTAGAAACTGCTATACCCAACAGCTCGGCGAGGCAGCGGTGAACTCCCGTCGTTGCTTCGACGCTTCCGATCAAGATGTTGTAACTTCTAATATGAGGAGAAGAGAACGTCGTCCAAGGAGCTGAGCGAACCAACGAAGTCAAACAGCGACGAAGGGGACTTAATTGGCGGGTCGGGTACGGGTTGACCCGAACTCGAAGCAGGACGGGTTCGAGTCCGAAAGACTGACCCGTTTGTGGGTCGGGTAGAACAGTACCAGGTCAGTTTCAGGTTGGACCCCAACCCGACCCGTGACCCGATTTTGACAGCCCTATGTGAAACCAAGTGAAAACATGTGCAAAAGTGCAAACAGTTTGAATCATTTAAAGGCTGATTGTGGTCATAAAAGAGAACTTACTGAAATTCCTGAGTGCTCTGTCTTAATCTATTTAGCTTTGTTTGTTATTTATTTGTTTATTTACAATCTTTGTATAATAGATTGAATGTTACAAGTTTTATGTGTTTTAACTTACATATTACCAAATATTAGGAAGGTTTTGAAGAGGTGTTCTTATTTGTAATATTATAGCAAGTCGTCCTAGCCCTTGATTAACAGGATGGGAGTACTCTTGTAGGGATTCAAGAAAATAAGTATTGAGATTGAAATCATAAATGAGGAAGCATAGGTGTGGATGTGGGACAGTTGGTGTCAAAGCGACCATCGATTTATAGTTGGATTTATTTTATTGCATTATTATTTTCTTAACCTGTATTAACCTATTTTCAACTAATGATTTATGTGTTGAATGCTTATATGTGTTGTTATGGTTGTGTTTATCTTTCCACTCAGCATTCTTTTTCATCCTTAGCATTGTATTTTTGTATGTCATCAATATCTTATTTGCACTTGTAGGTTGGATCATACGTGTTCAAGTTATTGTGCAAGTATAGTTGAGTACGATCATTAATATTAAGCTAATCACTCACTTATTAGCATCACTTTAATTAGTGCGTGTGTGTATATATATATATATATGCATTTGATTGTTTAAAATTGTATTTCATTATATTTATTGTCCGAGCTAGAATTGAAAAAAGTATTAAAAAATTCAAATATTGATGTACACCCAAGTCACACATCCCCCACACCCCTTCCTTTGGTGTGCCTATGCTCTACACAAAGTTCATTCTCCTTGCACGCTTTCACCCTTTATAAAAAATATTTGAAAGTAGCTAAAAGCTATATTTTAGCTATATTATATATTTAGCCATTCAATATTTTTAATGGAGGGTGAAAGATTTGCAAGACATAATTTAAGCGTCGTATTTTGACTCCAACCTACATGAAAGGGATTCTCAATAAGTATTCTACTACCCTGGTACTGAATGCTCCATTTTTATCAAGACAGAGTACATAGAATGGCATGCTAAGAATAAATGAAAGTCAGTCTAAGCAACTGAAATTAAGTAAAAGATATGCACTGCTTCTAATCTATCAATGAGAATGAATTGAAAAGAAGGGGTATAACGAAGGATCCTTCCAAGTAGAAGAGTTAGCTGGGCTGATTTTTAAGATAGAGCGTAAGCAAGAAAATTTAAAATATGTTGCATCAAAAAATATGCAAATGGACATTTCTATACCAGAATAAAAAATATGCAAATGGACATTTCTATACCAGAATAAAACGATCGTGGACTGACAACTATCATAGAGGTCAGCAAATAGGTAGGTGGACATGCACATGCTCATCTTACAGAACACAGCTAAGGCAGCAAGGCATAAGAAATAGAAGAAAATAGCATTTTCCAAGCAAAAAGATTAAAATCTTATTTAATATTACTGATAAATATTTACCTTCAACATGTTCTGAGGTGCAATGATAACACTATTAAAGAAGCTTGATGTATTAGTTTTGTAGAAAGATAGCAATTGCTCATTAAGATGAATGCAACTGTTAACACAAAAAGAAAAAGATTTAGAAAAGAAACCTTTTTGTTGCTGTGTTTCGTTAGATTTAACGATTTGGAATCAATTTTAATATTGCTAGGGCTTTCAAGATTCACATTCAGATCATCTGTCCCCGTATTCTGTACTAGAAGAAAAAATTCCGTGGATTCTGTAGAAAAAAGGCAAAAAGATGATGAAATCATGTAATAAAGAGCAATCACTGGTAAAGATTTACAATTTCTGAACATAAAAAAGGCAAGATACATCATTCAATAAACTATAAAGACGAAAAAAGAACATCAAGTAAAAGTAATGTCAAGGGAATAGGCACCATTTTATTGGCACTATAGCCTATATCCATGGAGAACCTCATGAAAACAATAACAAAGGTTGGAATGTTACGTTAAGAAATTAGATATTTTTAATACAGAACTTTTCTAACAAGTTTAGCATCACAAATCCTACATTTATTTACATCCTCTTTAGCTGGGCTAAACAATCAAATATAGCCTAATTGGAGAATAAGCGTTACTAAATTTTATGTTGCTTTATAATCATGCATCTTATATTTGTTGATTATAAGGTCACCTTCAAATCATGCCAAGAAACATTAAGTAGCTTGTGTTAAGAAAAACAATTATACAAACCCTATAACTTCCCAATCATCATCATTATTATCATTATAATTAAACTTGTACCAACTATTTGGTGTTAGATTTCATCAGTTCCATTCTTTCTTGCTAAATATTAATATACTTGTTAAAACTATTTTTCACTAATCTTTGGAATAACTTTTGTCCATTTTATTTGAGATCTATCAACTTTCTTTCATAATCCTTTAACAATAACTTTATCTGCTCATCTAATAGGTGCAACTTCTACCTTTATTGTACATGCACAAATCATATACATTTATTTTCAAAGACCATATCTTCAAAAGATATTACTCTAAGTGTTCATCTAATAGAACCATTTCTTAATTTATCCTTCCTAGTTTCATCCTAGATCCAACTTAACGTTATCATTTTCATCACACTCAACTTAGCTAATAACTTTGTACTTCACAATACTTGGATACATAAAATATAGCTAGCTTAAGTACAATTTGTACAATTTACTTTCAAATCTCCACAATATCCTATCATTGTATAATACTCGAGGTAATTCTCCTTCTAGCCACCTAATCATAATTCTAGAAGCTATGCACTCATCTATATCTCAATCATTTTTCATTATAGATTCAAGATAATAAAGCCTATAAGTATCACCTTATCTTCTAATAATATTGATTGATGATTGTTAATATCACATTCAATAAGTTACATAACATATACTTAGCTTTTATTCTGCTATTTCGAAGACTTATTTTCAAAATATTTTCACTTTTTTATATTTTAATTTATTTCAATAGATGTCTTCCTAATTAGGACTATATCGGTTGCAAAAAAATATACACAGACATTTCACTATAAAATGCTTTGTGATCTTTAATCACAATAGTATAAAAAGATATATATATATATTCAATGTTGATCTCCGTTGTAATCATATGCTAATGAGAAACTCTTTTGTTAGTCTAAAACTAATTCTAATCAAAGCTCCATCACATATATTTAATAAATTCAACATACATTTGACGCCATCTTTTTTCCTTAATGCATAACATATTAAATCTTATAGTAATCAATTATATCTCTTCCCAAGATCAATAAAAATCATATAGTGATCCTTTCTCTAATCTCTATACTTATTCATTAATTGTCCTGACACAAAAAACAATTACAAGGTGAATCTTCACAATATTAAAAGAAAACAAATCTCCTTTATTCTTAAATATCGATACCAATGTGCTTCTTCTACAATCATTTGGCACCCTCTTAGCCTACCAAATTTTAATAAAAAGATTTGTTGACCAGATCCCTAAAATGTCACATATAACTCTCAAAATCTTACTAAAATCTCATATGGACATAAAAATTTATACTTATGCATCTTCTTTATAGTTATCTCCACATTACTATTTTATCTTGATCCATGATATATCACTTCTAACATTATCAAAATCTCTAGACCTCTTTGCTCTTACATTAACTATAAACTTTGCTCGGCTTACAATCCTCCATCTTGAAATTCTAATTTCCTTATAAATTGACCCTTTATGGCTTCTTTGGTACCTTAGCGGTCATTGTTAAATAATCAAAATTAGATACCATGTCACATATATTAGTTTTAATTAAATTAACTAATTGCATAAACCCTCATCCAAGAAATAAATCTCAAGGACCATTATAACACTCTTTTAAAAAACATTACAAATAAACAAACTAGAAATTTTAGGATTTATCAAGTATAATAAAACATAGAGGATATGGGCTTCAACTCAGCCATTCGTAAACTACAAAAAACAAGCAACCAACACTCATGTATATCATATTAACTTTACAGCATGAGTAGTGTCACAACTCTCAAATTTACTATAATCATCAAGTCTCCTAGATTTTAAGGCTCCTTTACTCTCTTTGTGTATATTATCCTCCAGTGAAGCTTAGGGAGTTGCCTCCTTTGAATCTAGTAGTGCCTTATAATCTCCTTTTTGGGAGATTGCATAGGCTTACCATCTTCTTTCTTAGCATCTTGGGAAGCTACGTCTCATCCCTTGTAGGAGGATTCTAGAAATTCATCCTTCCCCAATCTAAGCATCCACCTGTTCAAGTTTTCTAGTTCAGGAAGCACTACTTTGGTCAAAATCACTTTTATAGTCAATAAAATTAGAATTTTAAAAGTTTGGAGGCAAATAGCAAGGATGCGTGGCAAGTTAAATCCCATGACCATTGCAGTAATGATTTGAATTGGACTAGAGATGGGAGTGGGAAAAGAAGCAACCTATAAACAAATCTAATAAAAATAACTTCCATTATGGACTCTAGAAACTTACTCTACTCACAAGTTTGATCCCATACCTTTTTGAAGCTCATTAGGCCTTCCACAGCCCTCATATTTCCAATCTAAACTTAATGATTCACCCCATATGAGACCTTTGATGCCACATCTATGGCAAAAATGCATAGCATAACCATGGCAAGCACCTTACTATTATTTTACATGCTAGATGTTCTTCTAATCTTACAGAACAAATTGGAGGATCTAGGCTTTGATAGCTTGTTAATCGTAGGAGAGATGGCTCTATGGTGATTATTTTCTAAAACACTAGAATAAAACCTTAGCAATTGATAAGAATCAAATCTTGGCACCAATCAAATCTTGCAAAAAAGGCTTCATATTGGTAATGAATCAACTTGCTTCGTAACTAGATGCCTGAGAAAGAAGGAAGACTTGTCCCAGAAGAGGGAAGATAATGACCTCCAACTAATAAAACTTTAGTCTTTTCAAATTAGAATCGAGAAGCAGGGGTGCAAGTTCAGGTACTGTTTGTTAAGAGGTTAACAGGTTTAGAATAACTTTTATGGAGCTAATGATTCGATAAAAACAAGCTGACCGCATGAAAATAAAATAAAAAAATTCTTCATGCTATACACACATATATGTTAGAGTTAGTGTATTTAATTACTTGATTTGGATTGGTTATGCAATAAATATATAATAAACTACTTTATGAGGAGGATCTTCTCTCTCTCTTTCTCTATGTGCAGACTCTATAAGGATCTTTCCCTCTCTACTATAAGCAACGAGAATGCACGGAATCCAAAAATTCATTAAACATCAAGAATCAAGCCCTTTTTGCATGAAAAAGAATTCCAACTTTCGCATCCTCAACATTTTATATCATAGTCAATGATCATTGAGTTCAAGTGAGTTAAAAATTCAAACATCACTAAAATAATTTCTGCATAATTTAAAAATGTCAATCGCCCTCGCTGCAAGGGCAAGGGATCAATATCTTGTGCACTAGAGCACTTTTATTTTATGCATAGAATCTTGTTACAATTCCTTAGGCAAGTTGAATCCTACACTGCTCATTGGTTATAAACCAGAAGCGTTGCTTGCCACCTCGACTTGTGCAATTATTTAGCTTTTCTGGTCTCAACCATATATTTTCTCTTTCTACCCTACTTTTTAAGAAATAAATTATTTTTTCTATGTTCTTACTTGACACTCTTAATTTTGTAGAAACACAAATAATTTTGAAATTGCAAGGTACAAGTTGATTCCAATTCCAATAGCATGTGAAGAAAAACATTACTATTTATAACCTTTGATTGAAAAAGATATGGTCACAATGTTATTTGAAATGAAATATAGTCACCACTACTCCTATAAAGATGGGCATGTCGCTTTTAAATTTATTCCCATTGTTATGAATTCATAGAAAGAGCAAATTCTATAACACTATCCCAGCACATTTTCCGCACAAAAAAGAAATATATGATTTCTTAGGCTGTGCAAAAGCAAAACAGCAGAAGAGCAATGCCGAGGTAGGCCTTACACCATCAAGAAGTTGGCTTGTTCGGCTTTTTTAAAACGGACAATGGCATTTATATCCTGAATGTTAAATATGCCAGGTGCTTAGCAAACCTTGCAAATAATCTGATTTGTCAATATACTCTAATATAGATGTACTACCACCACATTGACTTGAAGTTACTCTAACATAGATGTGCTGCCACATTGACTTGAATTTCTTCCCAATTTGCATCATTACTGAATGCATCATTCCAATAAAAAATTAGCTTTTAACAACTTTTCAAAACAATATATTTGTATCTACAAGCAAGAGCCAAGAAGTTGATAGACCGGTTCTCACTCAACCGGCCCAAAGAGGGTCGGCTCTTGTATACAGGAGGTGGTTTGTCCGCCCCCTTATTACCGCAAATCCTAGTGGAGTCCGCTAAGAAACTAATTAAGGAAGAAGAGGGGGGCGGCTAGAGTAGGAGCCTGGAGGGAATTTTTGAATAAGGAGTTTTGAATTCAAGTATTAAAAAAGAAGAGATGTTTAGGGTTAGGGTTATGCTTGATATTGTGTTCTCTTGGAGTTTTTTCTTGGTGTCTTGGGTTCTAGATTCAACTAAAGATTGGGAGAGAACGATCCTCCTCTCGAATTGAGGATCAATAATATTTTTGCTTTTTTTTCTTCAGTTGATTTGATTCCTACAATAAAATCTACTGTTTTTTTATTGTTTCGTTGAAATTGTTGAGTTTTTTTTTCCCACT